AAAGATAACAAAGTAGAAGGCGCATACCACAATTGCTTGCTAATATATAGCTCTCGTATCCACATGTAAGACGGTAAAATGGAGAAACTCTCCTGATAGAGTCGACTAGACCAATCATAACTGTTTGTCAAGCGTTGGGGGAATTACCCTAACTCCCAGTTTCTTACCGTACTATATAAGTCTACCGGTATAATTTTCGTTTTATGAAGATTAGACTTTAAAAAATTATAATTAATGTCATAAAAAAAGTATTTGATTTGCAAGAGGTTTGTTTATCCAGAGTCCTTGCCTGTTCAGCAGGTAACTTGGAGTTTCACCAAGTCATGTAGCAACCTCAATAGGTCTCTAGAATGTGCGTCAATTGGCTTAGATTAAGACGCTATCAGGAAAGTTGCTCCATTTTACCAACTTACACGCACAGCACGAAAACAGATATTTAAGCAAAATTTACGACATCCGTATTGAGACTTTAAAGACAGGGAAATATTTAAGCAGACTTTTAGATCGATTAAAGTGTACTGAAAAAGAAATCTAATCTTTACGAAGGATTTTCGCAGTTGTAAATGTAACGTATTACGGCATGTTTCTTTACGCACGGTTTACAGATACTGAAATATTCAGCTCCGACAAACATGTTAAACTTATATGTCCCAGAAAGGTATAGGAAATGTTTCGTATTTCTGTTTCAAAACTTAAGTCAAAATTGAAACATGAGTAAATCAATCAGGTATATTTTTAATTTTTTTTCTACGCACAATTTAAAGCAAGACGAAAAAGACACCGCATAAATTATCGAGAGCCTGTGCCTAGAACTCTGTTTCCTTTCAACGCCTGACATGAATTGTAGCAGACCTCGGTGCACGCAAATACAAAAAAATTTTCGCGTTATGTTTTCATGGCTTACCAACAAACATATGACGTGTTTAATCCTCCTCTCCGCACACTTTCAGTGTACGGCGGTCAGACTTTCCCTCTTTAGCTTATATGTTCCCAAAAGTTATATGAAAGGTAGCGTTTATTCAACAAATATACGACGCATTTAATCTTTCTCTACGCACACTTTAAGCGAACGGGGGGAGAACCTCCCCCCTTTAGCTTATATGATCCCGAAAACAATATGAAATGTACCGTTTATTCAACAACAATACGGTGACAATACGACGTGTTTAATCTTCCCCAAACGCGCAGTTTAATTGATATGTTTCCAAAAGCTATGGATGATATGTAGCGTTTGTTTTCAGCAAACATACGCTGTGTTATATCTTTTCCTATGGGTATTTTAAGTGAACGAGGAGGTACCTCCTCCCTTTAGCTTATATGTTCACAAAAACTATATGAATGGTAGCGTTTATTCAACAAATATACGACGCGTTTAATCTTTCTCTACGCACACTTTAAATAAGCGAACGGGGGGAAAACCTCCCCTTTAGCTTATATATGCCCAAAAGCTATATGAAATATAGCGTTTATTCAACAACAATAAGGCGTGTTTAATCTTTCCATACGCGTATTTTAAGTGACGTTGGCTTATATATTATCAGAAAATCTATGAAACGCTGCGTTTATTCAACAAACATAAGACGTGTTTAATCTTACCTTACAAGTTTTTTAAGTGACGTTAGCTTATATGTTCCCGAAAGCAATATGAAATGTAACGTTTATTCCACAAACATACGACGTGTTTAATCTTACCTTACACGTACTTTAAGTGAAGTTAGCTTATATGTTCCCGAAAGCTATATGAAATATAGCGTTTAGTCAACAAACATACGACTTGTTTAGTTTTTCCTTACGTGCATTTTAAGTGACGTTGGCTTATATATTCCTAAAAACTACATGAAACGTAGCGTTTATTCAACAAACATACGACGTGTTTAATCTTACCTTACGAGTTTTGTAAGTGACGTTTGCTTATATGTTCCCGAAAGCTAAAGAAAATGTAGCTATTATTCAACAAAAATACAACATGTTTAGTTTTTCCATACGCGCATTTTGAGTGACGTTGGCTTATATATTCCCCAAAGCTATATGAAACGTAGCGGTTAATCAACAAACATACGGCGTGTTTAATCTTACTTTACGAGTGTTTTAAGTGACGTTGGCTTATATGTTCCCGAAAGCTAAAGGAAATGTAACGTTTATTCAACAAACATACGACGTGTCTAATTTTTCTGTACGCGTATTTTGAATGACGGTGGCTTATATGTTCCCAAAACCTCTATGAAAAGATGCGTTTATTCAACAAATATACGGCGCGTTTAATCTTTCTCTACGCACGCTGGAACGGAGGGAGAACCTCCCCCCTTTAGCTTATATGTTCCCGAAAACAATATGAAAGGTAGCGTTTATTCAACAACAATACGGTGACAATACGACTTGTTTAACTTTAATCTTCCCCAACGCGCATATTTTAAATGATATTTTTCCAAAAGCTATGGATGATATGTAGCGTCTTTTTTCAGCAAACATACGCTGTGTTATATCTTTCCCTACGGATATCTTAAGTGAACGGGGTGGCATCTCTTCCCTTTAGCTTATATGTTCACAAAAACTATATGAAAGGTAACGTTTATTCAACAAATGTACGACGTGTTTAATCTTTCTCTACGCACACTTTAAGCGAACGGGGGGAGAACCTCCCCCCTTTAGCTTATATATTCCCAAAAGCTATATGAAATAGCGTTTATTCAACAACAAGAAGGCGTGTTTAATCTTTCCATACGCGTATTTTAAGTGACGTTGGATTATATGCTCCCAAAAGCTATATGAAATGTAACGTTTATTCCACAAACATATCACATGTTTATTCTTCCCATACGCGCATTTTAAGTGACGTTGGCTTATATATTCCCCAAAACTCTATGAACCGTATTCAACAAACATAAGACGTGTTTAATCTTACCTTACAAGTTTTTAAGTGACGTTAGCTTATATGTTCCCGAAAGCAATATGAAATGTAACGTTTATTCAACAAACATACGGCGTGTTTAATCTTACCTTACACGTACTTTAAGTGAAGTTAGCTTATATGTTCCCGAAAGCTATATGAAATATAGCGTTTAGTCAACAAACATACGACAAATTTTAGTTTTTCCTTACGTGCATTTTAAGTGACGTTGGCTTATACATTCCCAAAAATTCCATGAAACGTTACGTTTATTCAACAAACATACGACGTGTTTAATCTTACCTTACGAGTTTTGTAAGTGACGTTTGCTTATATGTTCCCGAAAGCTAAAGGAAATGTAGCTATTATTCAACAAAAATACGACGTGTTTAGTTTTTCCATACGCGCATTTTGAACGACGTTGGCTTATATATTCCCCAAAGCTATATGAAACGTAGCGGTTAATCAACAAACATACGGCGTGTTTAATCTTACTTTACGAGTGTTTTAAGTGACGTTCGCTTATATGTTCCCGAAAGCTAAAGGAAATGTAACGTTTATTCAACAAACATACGGCGTGTTTAATTTTTCTCTACGCGTATTTTAAATGACACTAGCTTAATATATGTTCCCAAAACCTCTATGAAACGATGCGTTTATACAGCAAACGTACGACGTGTTTAATCTTTATCCATGCGAATTTTAGGTAAACGGGAAGTGATCTCTTCCCTTCAGCTCATATGTCCCCAAAAGTTGTATAATTTTGCGTTATTCTATTTCGTCTATGTATTCAAACTGGAAAATACTGTCCGTCCGTAACATGTTTATGATGTTGTACTCCGTCCTGGTGGACAATTCGGGTGTGAAAGTACGAGACCGTTGTTTCAGGATGGACAAATCAGTTGTCGGCGGCGAATGTAATGAGAAATGAATGTAAATGTAAAAAGTTGTTTATAAAAACATGGAACAAACAGTATCTGCGGTGTGTTTCGGTAAGATGCACTGACAAGGCATGGTGTTTTTCAAAATGTAAATTTATTCAGTGCCAAGCTGTGAAAAAACAACACAGGGATTCAAATGCAAGATAATCGCCATATGGGGGAGCCGATATCTGCCAGATGGTGTGTCATGTGACAGGGTATTATCCAATGACAGACAACGGTGGGATTTTGAAATCTACTGGATATGCAAGACGCAAGCACCAGGGCTAGCATTTTACAGGGCGCCTTTTTGAAGACAAGTACGGGATGGAAGATTGGACCAATTCCATCAGGACTCACTGCAGGTTATGGACGAGATTCGGTTGGTTTTAATCACCCTGAACCCCGACGGAACGGACACAAAACTAGGGCACATGGTCCTCGTTCTGTACAAGTCTACAAAACGGATTGGAGTGGAGATATGGAACACGGCACGGCACGGCACGGAATGAGAAAACATCACGACCGTATATCTGTGTCGGCGACCAAGACCGGGAGTCATATCGGTATCTGTATTCGCGAAACTGAGCGGATTACTTCTCCAAGCCTGCGGTGGCCACATGGACAAGAGTGCTCTTTCAAAGTAAACTCTACCTTTGCCTAACGACGTTGGATTCGGAATTGTAGACTTGGATACAGCGCAGAATCTTGAAGGAACTTTGCACGGACACAGTGACTTATCGCTCGAGCTCAGCCGGCTGCATCAACGAGAACAAAAACTATACGACTAGCCTGGTTTCCAGTCTACCGGGTATGGAGCGGCTTTCTTTGGGGATCCAGGACCTCTTCGCCGCCGGAGTAAGCCAGGCTCCCCGGTATGTTTCGCATCGATATCGTGCCGCTAAACTCTATCCAGGGAGCCTAACTTCAACAGGACGGCAGGCCCGAAGATAGCCCACCCAAACCACGACAGGACTGGACACCAAAATGCCACAATACCTGACATACGCAGAATAAACGGCAAGTAAATGCAACAGAATACGCCAGCGTTACGCACACTTTATGGGTAATAAAGACGCAGTTTAAGCTGCTGAAAGTCAACTGAAAAATCCGAAAAATAAGCACCATATACGCAACAAATGATTACCTTTACACACACGTATATTGGCCGTAAAAGTGCTTCAATTAGAAATAAACGTGAACTTTAAATACGTTATAAGAGCATTTTAAAAAGTATTTATGACAACTTTAAGCAGCTGAAAGGCTACGTGAAAACCGGAAAATACGTATCCATCCGCACCTATCCGTCATCTTTACCCACACTTATATGAGCCGTAATAAAATGCTTAAAAAATGAAAATACGTCAACTTTACTTACAATTTAGAAATATTTTCATCATTATTTAAGACATCTTTAAGTGCTTAAAGGCTACGTGAAAACCGGAAAATAAGGATCCATCCGCACCTTTCCGTCATCTTTACACATACGTATATTACCCTTAAAAATGCTTAAATGATAAAAATACGTCAACTTTACTTACAATTTAAAAATATTTTCATTGTTATTTAAGACATCTTTAAGTGCTTAAAGGCTACGTGAAAACCGGAAAATAAGGATCCATCCGCACCTTTCCGTCATCTTTACACATACGTATATTACCCTTAAAAATGCTTAAACAATAAGAATACGTTAACTTTACTTACAATTTAAAAATATTTTAATCATCATTTAAGACATCTTTAAGTGCTTAAAGGCTACGTGAAAACCGGAAAATAAGGATCCATCCGCACCTACGGAAAGACCACGTAACGTCGATCTTTACGTACTCGTATAAAACGTGTATAGATGCGTAAAGACGGAATATACGTTGACTTTAAGCATAGTTTAAGCATCCGTAAATACCGTTTTTCGTGCCGTGACGTTGATAGCAATATAGTACCAAGCAATTGTGGTATGTCTTGTGGTTTTCATCTTTCTATCTTTAGACGTCCACGTTACGTACAATATTTCACGACCATTTATAATTTATTAAACAACGGAGCGAAAAGAGGATGTTTGACCACATCAAATGCTTCCTCTTTATGAATTAGGAAAATGCGCGAGGGGATTTCTTTGACTAGTCGTGATAATTTAATTCAATTCAATATCCAACCAAAGATTGTGACTTTGTCACGTTTCTGCAGCAGCTATAGCCGTGTGTGGAAGCTCAGCAGTCGCCCCTCGTGACTACATCCAAGATGCAAACGTTCAAGAGCTTATTCAGTCTCGTTACGTTCTTGGCGCTGTTCAGCGTCGCTTGTTCAACAACTCCGCTCTATGCCACAGTCCCAGAAAATGCCGCTATCGGACGATACGTCACCAGCGTCCTAACCACCTCTCAGATGGGTGAAGACGACGTTCAGTGTAAAATTGTGGAGGGAGACGAGCACGGTCGGTTCATGATAACCGCCTGTAGGATCACAGTTGCACGGCCGTTAGATTATGACGTCAGTCCGATGTACAACCTTAGGGTCAATGTCACTCGGCCGGTCGGAAAGGTAGAAGAGCGACGCGTGGATATACAAGTCCAGGAGGTGGAAGGATACCCACCTGTTTACAACGACACTTGCGCAATGCCAGTACTGGTTGGGGGTAAGTCTGGCAGTCCGATTTTCGATGTGACAAGTACGGTTGAGATGATGGAGAAAGACAGAGGAGTTCTTTCCACCGAAGTTCAGATTCCGGAATCTCTACTTAAATTAGCTATATATATAGGTGAATCAATATTTTATCACGCCAGCAGCGATTGTCGTGTGCAGTTTGCAGCAACTGCCATAGATAAAAGAGGCTTCGCTGCAATTAGAGGAAAATGTATCCAATGTTTCTCCTCGCCCGACGATGCTGCAGTCTTGGAGCTCGCAGTTCTAAACACTGACGGGAGTGCTGAATGTGATTTTGCAAGTGACGTGGGATCGAATTTTGACTATCTGACCACACGGTTTGACATTGTTGGTGTTTTCGCCTGTTCCAGTCTCCAGAAACCCGCGAATTGTACAAATTCAAATGCAACCTACCAAAACTAAGATTGTCTTTGCCGATCAAAAATAATGGTAGGCCATACGAGGTCACTCATTTTATCACACTGGAATCTAACGCTAGGGCCAAAGGATGTCCGCCAAACAAATATGGCATTATGTGTGAAAAGGACTGTGGCTGTGAAAACGGCGCCCGTTGCCATGGATTCAACGGGGCCTGTAAGTGTCAGCCTGGATGGCAAGGTGTCGTCTGTGACATTCCTCACAGTACTGTGGCCATCATACCGACTCCTAGCGACTCGCGACAGATTCACATCAAGAGTCCGTTGACATTGGAATGCAGAGCTTTCAATCTAGCTGTTAAAGGGATGACGTGGGGATTTCCAAATGGAACCAAAAAGTGGTTACGGAGGACTCAAGAAGACCAGGTAAGTATAGAAAGCATCCAGTCCAAACACAATGGCACCTACACCTGTACTGTAGTTACAGAAGACAAACGGGTCTTTCTTGCAAGTTACGAGCTTCAGGCAGTCACGTGTCCTGCTGAGAAGACGGGTGAATTGTGCGAAGACGACTGCGACTGTCCAGAAGAAGCCAGCTGTGACAGGTGGGCCGGCTGTGTCTGTCCGCCGGGATACATTGGGACAATGTGTAAGACATGGTGCCCACAGGGCATGTTTGGACAGAACTGTAGCAGCAAATGCCAATGTCAGAATGCAGTCCGCTGCGACCATAAAAATGGTCAATGTGTCTGCAGGGAAGGTTGGTTTGGCGTAGATTGTAGTATGCCGTGCCCAAGTGGACGGTACGGACAGGATTGTAAATATGCGTGTTCTTGCAAGAACAACGCCACATGTCACCACGTGGATGGAAACTGCACATGCGAGTCGCCTTGGACTGGGCAGTGGTGCGAGGTCATGCAAACCGACATCCAAACAGACAGTTTCCGACTGCCACTGCAAATCTCTGTACCACTTTTACTGGTCCTGCTAGTGTTGGCAGCATTGGTGGTGCTCTATATACGGAAGGGGGCTACTCGAGTAAAACAAGATGAGGGCTTAGAGGAGGCGCAGGCTCTACTTGAACTAACTGGTATGGAAGAAAATTTAGCACAGAGTCTAAAGCCTGGTTGGCTCAACCGATGGGAAAGGAAGACCAAGGATCTGACTCTAGGTCAGCTGATCGGGCTCGGTACATTTGCACATATTAGAAAGGGCCATCTCCGCATTGACAACGCTGAAGTGACTGTAGCTGTGAAGTCCGTGCGTGCGGCGGACAAACTGTGCTACCAAGCATTCTGTCGGGAAGTTTCCGCACTCATAGCTGTTCATGAAAACCAGGAACAAATTGACGGCGACTCCAACATTGTCCGGCTGTTTGGGGTCATCACCAAGTCCACACCAAAGTGTGTTCTCTTGGAATATGCCAGTGGTGATCTTTTGCAACTTCTTAAACGATTGAAGCAGCAAACCGAACGTCGTCGCTTGGATCGCGTTGTTCTCCTTAGCGACGTTCTACGCTATGCTGTCCACATATCACGTGCCCTGGAGGAGCTCCGACGCCTTCCTATCGCTCACGGTGACGTGGCCGCTCGGAACGTTCTCATCAGTGGACATGACGTCGCTAAACTGACCGACTTCGGCCTGGCTCGTGACGTGTACAGTACCATTTCGCACGCGGATTCTGTGAAGACAGATGCTGAGGAGCTGTTGCCTCTGAAGTGGATGGCTCTGGAGTCACTGAAATGTCGTCAGTTCACGTGCGAGTCCGACACGTGGTCGTTCGGCGTGCTGCTGTGGGAGATCGCGTCGTTTGGAGAGGAGCCCAACTATCAGGAGATGGTCAGGCTCACCTATCCGAACTTAGTAGAGTTCCTGAGGAGGGGAATGCGTCTGCTGAAGCCGCGGGGATGTCCGAACAGGCTGTATGACGTCATGAGGTCGTGTTGGCGGCAGGAGCCGTCGGCCAGACCGACCCCTGAGGAACTGGAACAGAAACTTACAGAATGTCGTCATGAGATAGATCTTCAGTTTGTGGAGCGAGAATCTGCAGTTTGATGTAGAACTCACATAAGTAGTACCAAGATAGCCTGTCCTCTGTCTCAGTGCCTAGTGCAGATAGACAGAGAAATTTTGAAATTTTGAGAGTTTGATATATACAGTTATCACAACACATACTGAAACTATGGTGTGGTTTTGTACTTTTGGACTGGACCAATTATAACTCTTTGTCAAGTGTTGGAGGAACGCCCCTGACTCCCAGTTTCTTACTCTACTACATATATACGTCTTTGATATAATTTTCATTTTGCAAAGATAAGACTCAATCATAATTAGCTAACTATAGTGTCACGAAATAGTAATTGATTTGCTAGAGGTTTGTTTATCCAGAGTCCTTCCTAGCTTAGCAGGTAACTTAGGTTTCGCCAAGTCTGCTCTTCATGCAGCAACCTCAGTAGGTCTCTAGAATATGCGTCAATTTGCTTAGATTAAGACGCTATCAGGAAAGTTGCTTCATTGTTACCTTCTTACAGGTTGATAGCAATATATTACCAAGTACTTTGTCATCTTTCTATCTTTAGACGTCCACGTCACGTCCAATGTTTACTTGACATACATTCACGACCATTTATAATTTACTAAACAACGGAGCGAAAAGGGGATGTTTGACAACATCAAATGCTTCCTCTTTCTAAATTAGGAAACGAGTGAGGGGATTTCTTTTACTAGCCGTGATAATTTAATTCAATTCAATATCCAAACAAAGGTTGTGACTTTGTCACGTTTCTGCTGCAGCCATAGCCGTGTGTGGAAGCTCAGCAGTCGCCCCGTGACCACATCCAAGATGCAAACGTTCAAGACCTTATTCAGTCTCGTTACGTTCTTGGCGCTGTCCAACGTCGCTTGTTCAACAACTCCGCTCTATGCCACAGTCCCAGAAAATGCCGCTATCGGAAGAAACGTCACCAGCGTCCTAACCACCTCTCAGATGGGTGAAGACGACGTTCAGTGTGAAATTGTGGAGGGAGACGAGCACGGCCGGTTCATGATAACCACCTGTAGGATCACAGTTGCACGGCCGTTAGATTATGACGTCAGTCCGATGTACAACCTTAGGGTCAATGTCACTCGGCCGGTCGGAAAGGTAGAAGAGCGACGCGTGGACATACAAGTCCAGGAGGTGGAAGGATACCCGCCTGTTTACAACGACACTTGCGCAATGCCAGTACTGGTTGGGGGAAAGTCCGGAAGTCCGATTTTCGATGTGACAGATAATACGATTGAGATTATGGAGAAAACCGCTGGAATTCTGTCTATCACAAGTCGGATTCCGGATTCTCTTCGTAAATCACTTGGTTCCTTGTATTACCACGCCAGTAGCGACTGTCGAGTGCAGTTTTCGACAACTATCAGAGATGAAACAGGCAGAGACATGGTCGCAGCTAATGTTATGCGTGGAAAATGTCTCCAATGTTTCTCCTCGCCTGACGATGTAGCCGTCTTTGAACTCGCAGTTCCAAACACTGACGGGAGTGCTGAATGTGATTTTGCAAGTGACGTGGGCTCGAATTTTGACGATCTGAACACACGGCTTGACATTGTCGGTTCTTTTCGTATGTTCAAGGCTCCAGAAGCCAGCGAATCGTACAATTTCAAATGCAACCTACCAAAACTAACATTACCTTTGCCGGTCAGAAGTTATTATCAGCAATACGAGGTCACCCATCTTAGTCGACTGGGATTCGACGCTAAGGCCATAGGATGTCCGCCGAACAAATATGGCGTCATGTGTGACAAGCACTGTGGCTGTGAAAACGGCGCCCGTTGCCATGCGTTCAACGGGGCCTGTAAGTGTCAGCCTGGATGGCAAGGTGTCATCTGTGACATACCTCACAGTACAGTGGCCATCATCGCAACTCCTAGCGACTCGCGACAGATTCACATCAAGAGTTTGTTGACGTTGGAATGCAGAGCTTTCAATCTAGCCGTCGAAAGGATGATGTGGGAATTTCCAAATGGAACCAAAACGTGGTTACAGGGGACCCAACAAGATCAGATAAGAATAGAAAGCATCCGGTCCGAACACAATGGCACCTACACCTGTACTGTAGTTACAGAAGACAAACGGGTCTTTCTCGCAAGTTACGAGCTTCAGGCAGTCACATGTCCTCCCAGAAAAATGGGTGAATTGTGCGAAGACGACTGCAACTGTCCAGAAGAAGCTAGCTGTGACCGGTGGGCCGGCTGTGTCTGTCCGCCAGGATACATTGGGACAATGTGCAAGACTTGGTGCCCACAGGGCACGTTTGGGCAGAACTGTAGCAGCGAATGCCAATGTCAGAATGCGGTCCGCTGCGACCATCAAAACGGCCATTGTTTCTGCTATGAAGGTTGGTATGGTGTAGATTGTAGTATGCCATGCCCAAGTGGTCGGTATGGAGAGAAATGTAAATATGCGTGTGCTTGTCAGAACAACGCCATATGTCACCACGTGGATGGAAACTGCACATGCGAGTCGCCTTGGACTGGGCAGTGGTGCGAGGTCATGCAAATCGACATCCAAACCGACAGTTTGCAACTGCCACTGCAAATCTCTGTACCCCTTATACTGGTCCTGCTAGTGTTGGCAGCATTGGTTGTGCTCTATATGCGGAAGAGGGCTACTCGGGTGAAACAAGACGAGGGTTTAGAGGAGGCGCAGGCTCTACTTGAACTGACTAGTATGGAAGAAAACCTAACACAGAGTCTAAAGCCTGGCTGGCTGAACCGATGGGAAAGGAAGACCAAGGATCTGACTCTAGGTCAGCTGATCGGGCTCGGTACGTTTGCACATATCAGAAAGGGCCATCTCCGCATTGACAACACTAAAGTGACTGTAGCTGTGAAGTCAGTCCGTACTGAGGACAGACAGTGCTATCAAGCATTCTGTCGGGAAGTTTCTGCACTCATAGCTGTTCATGAAAACCAGGAACACAATAACAGAACCTCCAACATTGTCCGGCTGTTTGGGGTCATCACGAAGTCCACACCAAAGTGTGTTCTCTTGGAAGATACCAGGGGGGATCTTTTACAACTTCTAAAACAGCTGAAGCAACATCCCCAACGTCGTGTTCTTCTCCTTAACAACGTTCTGCGCTATGCTGTCCACATCTCACGTGCCCTGGAGGAGCTCCGACACCTTCCTATCGCTCACGGTGACGTGGCCGCTCGGAACGTTCTCATCAGTGGAGATGACGTCGCTAAACTGACCGACTTCGGCCTGGCTCGTGACGTGTACAGCACTATTGCGCCTGCGGCTTCAACGAAAACGGATGCTGAGGAGCTCTTGCCTCTGAAGTGGATGGCTCTGGAGTCACTGAAATGTCGTCAGTTCACGTGTGAATCCGACACGTGGTCATTTGGAGTGCTGCTGTGGGAGATCGCGGCATTTGGAGAGGAGCCCAACTATCAGGAGATGGTCCGGCTCACCTATCCGAACTTAGTAGAGTTCCTGAGGAGGGGAATGCGTCTGCTGAAGCCGCGGGGATGTCCGAACAGGCTGTATGACGTCATGAGGTCGTGTTGGCGGCAGGAGCCGTCAGCCAGACCGACACCTGAGGAACTGGAACAGAAACTTACAGAATGTCGTCACGAAATAGATTTTCAGTTTATGGAGAAGGAAACCACAGTTTGAGTTTGAACTCACAAAAGTAGTACCAAGGTAGCTTGCTTACTGCTTAAATGCCCTAATCTTAAATCAGATCCTAGGATGGCAAAAGACAGTACATGTATCAAATTAGCCTGGCCAATGATACGGTCTTTTGCCGAGTTTAAAACAATGACAGCACAGAAAATATAATTGTAATTCTGTACTTTTGTAATGTCTAACTTTATTGTTCATTTCAGTAAATGCATTAAAATCATAGGGTAACAATGCCACGTGAATTAATGTTTTTACATGGCAAATAATGAATAACCTATACTATTTTTACAACAGCTCTTGACAGAATCAGTAATCAGTCTCAGTAGACAGTAGTCATCTGACCAATAGCAAACAGGGTATTATTACTTTCCCAGCAATGGCATCAAGAGATGTGCTCTGGTTGGATAAAACACAGCTACTGTTAACATTTACAAGGACAAAATGGAATCTACAAAAAAACAACAGCAAGTTTTGTGATGTCACCATTAAATGGATAAACTTTGAGACACATTAACAGAATGCCTGTAACTGCCTACAGAACGTAGATACTGTCCATTGCTATATGCTGAAACTATCTATTCAGTAAAACCAGAGATTTTGAATCAGCTGTAAGTTGCATTGAAAGATAGATATGCTTAATGATTGGCCAAAAAACAAATGTGGAAGACAATTTTTCCACTGTAACCATATGTGTGCATATACATGTATCCCCTTTCAAAGTTCATAATTTGCCTGAAGCCAAAATACATTGCTTGATAGCTTAATCACATGCAATAAACCCAAAATATCTTAACATATTATACAAAGGTAGCAAGTTGCAATTATTAGTTGCAGTGTTTAAACTTTGCTTAACTATACATATGAATTACAATTAGCAATACCGCAATACTCACACCATTGTGAAGATGAATTCATACATGGGAAAGCTTCCTATTATACTGAAGAATACCAAGAATTATACCAAGAAAGAGGCTGTATATGAACTGAACACCAATATATGGGATACATTTGGAATGCTGTGGCACCATCGTAAACTTCTTGGTTAGAGCCAGTCTCCAATATGATAAAGTGTCAAAACAGTATCCACACATATTTTACATGCACATAATAGCAATACTTGCAGAAATAAGGTTATTTGGATAACAATGAACTATTTAGACAGATTAAACTATTTCCTTTTTAAACTGTTGCCCATGTTGTGCTTGAGTGTTTCCCACAATACCTTGCAGCACCTATCCCATCATGCCATGAGGAGCCAGAACATGAAGATAAGAGCAATCCAGAGGAACAAGGTGGACAGGACTCTCTCCTCCTCTGCTTGTGGTGTGCCTGGGGGAGCTATGTGGAAAACAGACAACAACTATGACACTTGTATGATATACATGTTCATGTATATAGCTGCTGAGGTTCCGGCTGTCATTGCACATACTTTGTAGGTTGTACTTCTTAGGACATAACATAACAAATACTGGTCACTGTACTTGTTAGAAAGAGCTTTGTATACAGGAGAATTTCCCTGTTACAATGAACCTGACTATAGTACCTACTCTTCCCCATACATACATTTAGCTACTGACTTGCTGTTCTTACCTGGCCCTGGCCTTCCATCGTTGAAGTTAAAAGCCGAGGCAAAGAAACCAAACGGAAAGGCTCCAATTCCAAAGGACATCTGGAATCCCCCATCTCCAAATGTCCAGCCCTGAGGATGGAAAGCAAGGAGAGTCAGCATTGATTTCAAGATAGGTACAATATGGTATGATTCATTCTCTGCACTTATATTTTTACCAGTTGTAAACACAAATCCCAAGAATGTCCTCAGTTTGTGATGATTCTCCAAAGAGAAAGTCGAATACCTACCCCATGGTTATTTTCTGGTTCTGGCCTCTGTCCCTGTGGTCTAGGTGGTGTTTTCGTTCTGGAAAGAAGACAGACAAATTCAATCTTTACTGAAAACACATTACAATGTACCACCACTGCAAATGGCATTACTGTACATGATCTGTTGTATTTGAGAGGACGTCCAAAAATAACCGAGACTTGTAGCAGCAAAAACTATGAAAGGAAACAGACTTTTTTGGGATAATTCTTGAGCTTCTGATAGCCCCGGCTGGTCTGTTGCTTACCTGGGATCCATCTGTGAACCCCCCCTCCCGTACAGTGGTATGACCTTGTCTCTGCTGATGCCAGCCTTACACACAGGACACAGCTGCCTGTTAGGTCTGGTCTCCAACCACTGCAAATGGAAACATGGCAAATCAGTGATGGCAGACTTCACCCCCTTCATACAACACTGCATTGTGTATGTATGAAATTGCAAACAATTAGAAAACTTGCTGGAAAATATCAAATGCCAAACAAGCAGCCAAAGACATGAATAAGAATAAAATGGTCAAGACGTTAGAATATCACTTCTTACCTGATGAAGACAGGGCCAACTACATGGGGAAAAATGACAAATAATATTGTCAATATTTTCATTGTTAACTATAACTTTGGCTAACAGACATGTGTTTTCAAATAGTGAACAATTAATAATCAACATCAACAAATTTCAATGTCAAACTTTATTTACAGCTCATTTGCATAGTTTGCATCTCTATGAACATAAATTCCTGATATTTTATTATCCTTTCCAAGGTGTTTAATTAAACACCATAAATTTATCTTGCTGTTTTAGTATGACACATCCTTGATAATTTGGATCAGCTCAGGATATAGAATTTTCTTCTTACACAACCATTGAGGTTCTCACCTGCTTACGTTTCGATGTCTATCAGACACCTTCCTCAGACCTTCTGACTATTTACGGAAATTGGATCAGCTCAGTTTCACTTTCAGTTTACATGCTATACTATCAGTAACTGAGTAAGATGTAAATTACACAAGTAATTTTAGAATTTAAGACATATTGGCATTTGCACACACAGACACACTACTGCAAACTATGGCTCTCACCAGAACAGGTGTCCACACAGGCTGACCACTGCGTCTCTGGCCGTGTCCAGGCAGATATTGCACTCGTAGGTCCCCTGGTCCACGTCCGCCCCTCCCCCTCCGGCGGCCCCTGCCCCATCACCCGTCACATCAGCCGATGACATTATTCCGACCCGAAATCCCGTACTGTGTGTTTTTACTGGCTCTTACCGTCCTCCCCAAACCGTCTTAAATCTACTGGAGGTATTCTATGGCGAAGCTAGACGGCTATCTTAGCGAGTAGAAGCGACAAACCATCACAAAATTTTAAGCTTTCGCAGCAGACGAACGAAGAACGGGATACAACCTGTACTTCCGCGCCTGCGTACTGCAGTAGTACAGTCATCATCTCGCCGAAAAGTCTCGTGAGATTACTGTCTGCAGTTCACATCAAAACCGCACGGATCGCACCAAATATTTCCCCGCCACTTGACAATGATTGATTACCTTTGGAGGTCGAGTTCAACTGTGACTTCTATTGCTTGAGAGTCTATCGAAAATGCCACAGCATGACCAGTACATAGATGGGGTAAAACAGCAAATCAGCAGCTATGTACACATGCTGTTACTTGAAAAAAAATGCACAACTCACAATTATATAGCACTGACCGTGACCTAGTTTTTGGCCAGCCTACCGCCTGTACTTTCAATATCCTCTGCAACGTGCTCAACTCACTCTACATCACATGCACCAAGTTCAATAAGCTCTGTGAGTGTCAGATTTGCTCTAAAACGACATACGTCCTACTTTCAGTACCACGGGTTAGATACACATCTCCGCGCATCGGATCAAACAACAACACAGGCCTCGCCTTGACCCAAAGGGTGACCTGAAGGGCGGTTCACGACCGGCAATTTACAGCTAGCAATATGGCAAATAGCACCAATAAAGAAGTTCAACTTGCATGCCATTGAATCATTGTTGATGGACTAGCATAAATGCTCGCCCAGACTTCTTTTGTCGCTATATAAATTGCTCAGTTGGGTACAATAATACAACAGAGGATGGTTGAAAATTAACATTGGTTGCGAATTTTAAACTCTTTGGCAGGCTAAATTCTATGGTAAATTAATCACTCTATTGGCCAATTTCTATTAAAGCATCCCACTACATGGTGAGCCTGGTAGGGACGACACCCCCTCCTTTTAAAAAAACAAACAAACAAACAAACAAACAAACAAACAAACAAACAAACAAACAAACCGTCAACATTCCGTCAATGTCTTACACGAATTCAGATCTGACCTATCTTTCGCTATATGCGAGTACATGTACAATATATGAGTTTGACGCACTGTGAGTCTTTTCCTATTAGCCGCTGTTACAGCCAGTATTAGCATTCTAGATCTTATCCACTTGAGGCTATATAACGCATGATGCTGTACAGTACTACATGTATCAACAGTAGCGCCAAGTGCCTTTTTCATCAAATCACGTGCGACTCAAAGGATGGAAATGCGTCATTCGCTCGGCGCATGACGTAAAGTCTATTGACATTTTTTAAAGCGCACTCAGGTATGAGCCTAGCAGCGTTATATACGTTGTAACCCCGAGACTAATTTAATCAACGTGCGCGTTTATGAACATGTATTATTACAGCACTGTTCTGATATCACAGAAGTAGGTACCTAATCCCTAGTAGGTCCTCCAAGCAGATGTTGGAGTGGAAAATCATAACGTTTCCTCACTGCATGCTAGGCTTCCCATCCGTCCGAAATATCACAGAGGAACCCGGTCGGTTATTCCACCCCCAACATCTGCTTGGAGATTATCGCTTTTTTTTCAACACCGCTGGGTTGACGTATCGTCATTTTTTTTTGTCAATTAATGAAAATGGAAAAAAAATTGCGATGATCTCGAAAACGGGTAACACATATCTTTTTCGTGACAATTTTCTAGCATCCAGTAGCGTACCTTACAACGATCAGGAATCGAGTTCCTTGCAAATCTATATATAGCACGCGCAATCTATTAATAAGTCCATTCTATCTTTTGCGTTTCATTTCAATACTTCCATATTATATATATGTTATATGCCCAGTTATATCTAAACCATTAGCCATCTTTGATAGAAATATTATAGTTATACGAACCATTGCGTGATTGCCGTATATTGGGGGTTTTAACTCCGGTGTTCTCTCCCTACCTGTCTTCATTTGTATTCTCCTATCATACTCAATTCTCTTGGCCCTTTATACCAAGTTCAAAGCTGTTTACTCCTTCCTACGATGACTTGTAGAGTGATGACATCATGAAAGTAGTCCCAATGCCGCGGGTTCCCGGGCCGGGCGCAGTGCCGGGTTGGGCGGAGGTTGTATTCCTCCGCCAGAAACATTCTCTGTTTAGGAGATAGAAAAAACCTTCGAGCTGAATTTTACTATTTGTGACCATTCTTTGCCTTCGTTTCCCCATCGCCGGGCTTTTGTAGCAGACTACAGCGATCTACATGCAGTAGGAGCTCCCCTGCCGCTATGACTGTGCGATCTGCGTGACGGTAAAGCTGCTTCCGAAGCCTTCTCTCGGGCCTGGTTGGGGAAGGGTGCGTTGCATGGCCGAGCGTCCTACCCGCCACACTCGCAACCATGAACAAGCGCAGTAAAAGACCCAGCGCTGGAAGGTATAGTGGAATGACGCAGAATCAACCCAGGTACGTTACTGTTGTATATTATATCGTTTATGATACCCAAAACGTGTGTAAAAGAGACGTTTGTGCGCGTGTAAGTCAGCGTGTGTATATGTGTGTATGGCGCCGGTTCCGGATTATCCAACATGTCGGACCTCCGTGTCCCCCCTCTGTTTCGGTTTCATCATAACCCGTTTTCCCGTACAAATTCCATAATCCACAGATCAAATACACACGCATATTTCCTCAGATAAACCTGCATGGATCTCGGGCAAAATTCTGTTTCCCCAGCTAGCGTAAATGTGGAGATCCGTGGTGTAAATTTTACTGATGATGTGGAGGTAGTTTTGTCTGTCGTCTGACGATGCCGGGTCAGCCATGGCCCCACCGTGTCCCGAAAAAAAAATGATGACGTTTATTTGACAAAATTCCGATAGTCCTTCGCACCACACAGGAGGCAAACGTCGGCGGAAACCTTCCGATCGAGCTGTTGAGGGTCGTCTGCGGCTCGATGTGAATGAAAGGCAGATTCACCCGCCAAATTTTGCGGGTTGTGAGCCGGCCCCGTGCATGAATTTCCCCTCATTATGGTGCATGTGTAGAGATGGCGTCAATTCTGCCCCCCTCCCCCACCATTCCACACTTTACGTTCTCACGACAGTTTCCTGTTGGTGTTTAGTCTAAATCCCTTGTCTACAAAAGCGCAATGGACTGACGACGCTGTGTACTTGTATCTGGACGCTTGAAGCTGTAATTTTCCGTGGTTAATTTACCTGTTTTAATGCTGTGAAAAATTGGCTGAATAATAGGACCTGACAGGTATGAGGAACAATTGCAGGTGATAGGCAGACAGGTGTCCAAAATATACGCAGGTGAAAATAATTTGCATATCAATTTCAAATCATAACTTGGGAAAACAACATACTTGAGCCAGATGCGAAAGATACACAGATAGAAATTTGATTTTTTTTAAAATATCTGTTAAGACATTTTGCGATAGTAACTACGTTACATATGAACATTATTATTATTGACATAGAATCATGTGTTTTGAATAAGAGGTCAAATGGTTATATCTATATAATATTGTGCAGAAAGTAGTGTTTTTCAAGACTTTTTCAAATACTATTTGATTAATTTGAATATACCCTTTTCCACAATTTCTTGACACAGCATATTAAGGTATTATAGTAACCAGTTTATAGCGAACCATTATTTTGATACAAAGTTATGGATAGTGAAGACAGCCTGGTACAGTGAGCATAATTTCTTGTGGGAAAGCCGTTTCCATGAGACAGCTGCCAGCGAGGGCAACTGCCAACCAGTCAGCCAACTCCTGAGCCATGTGGTCCCAATTTCCTAACTGGGCATGAGGAGGGGGAGGGGACTCTTAGGTCTGAAGTATTTGCATATTATTAAACAAAATCCCGTGTAAGTGGGATGGAGGGGTGAAAAAGGTGATCTCAGAATAGATTTTAGGGTAGAAGATTGTAATGTTTCCTGGCTGTTGGAAAACTTAATTTTACTCCAATGTCTGGTTGGACTAGGAAATGGTACTGTCAACATGGTAAATTTCCCTGTTAGTGTTAATTCTCTTAGCTTATGATGGCCAACTCTCTTGTATGTTGCATCTTTAGATCATTCATGTCATTTATTTATGCACATGATCATTTTGTCATGTTCATTGACAGCAAAAGTTGTTGGACTTCTCCCATCCACCTGCCAATGTTTCCTTTTTTGGCACCAAATTTGTATTGATGACCAAGTTTGGCAAAGGAGAGAGATTTAATTTTTGCATACCATAGTCATTTACACATTAGGAATGCATGTATGGTGATACTAGCAGTAATATGATTGTGTCATCCACTATCTCTAGCATGATATATTGGTCTAGATGCTACCAAGATCAAAAGAAGCTGTGTAGTAAAGCAGGAAGTGCCTATTGACTCGGATGCTTATAGTGTACCCAGAGTAAAGAATTGTGTTTATCAGGCACTTGACATGTGCTGTCTGATTGGCTGAGAGACACAAATGATTGACCAGTGATTGACCAATAATCATTCAGTACTCTGTGGACATGATTCCTTGGCTCTGAGTTTGGTAAGGTCTGTTGTTGTCTGGAAAATTGGGAAAGGTGGAGTGCTAGTAGCTCCTTAACGTAGTGAGTTGAATGAATGTTTTTACGAGTTCACTGCTGGGTATTACAGTCATGTTTAGTGTCATTTAGTGTTTTAATTACAGAATGAGTGATGCCACACTTGTAAAATATAATTTGTTCCTCTACAGATTCTGGTAGCACAAAACGTCTGCTTTCCTATGTATGCTTGTACTTCATGCAATTTCTTGTACAATCAAGTTATAAAATTAATTGCATCTTGTCATGATCTCTGACAACAGGCAAACATAACTTTATATAAGCCTTAAGATGAACTTGTTCATTTGTACACTTTCCAAACTTCCTTTGGGGACATAACCTTATGAATGTAACAAAGAGAAATAGTGTTTCAATGAGGTGCAACTGGTTTTACCACTGGTACTGTTTCCAGTACATGACAACATAATCTGATCAAGCATCTCAGGAGAAGACAGTGAAGTATGTACACAAGAGTGGGAATTGGTAACCTTGGGTCCTAGGAGGTCAAGGCCCAGGTCACATTTGAAGATAGATAGTCCCTCATGGCAATGCATGGTTTCGGTGTCTGCCTGCAATGCTGGCTATGTTGAGCAGATGTATTTGACCTTCTATTTTGGGCCGAACTTTGTACTATATTTTTCCATGAGACTTCCATATGAATATATCTTACTGTGAACAAAAGTTGAAAATGATTGCCATTTTGGTAAAAAAAATGTTTTTCTTTCCAGGGCAAGTAGACTTGCAAAAGAAATTGATAGAATGCCAGAGTTGTTATTTGAACTCCTTAGTGTCCTTGTGCTAAAATACAAGAAGGCGATTCAGTATCAAGTTGGTTGTAATTGTGGGGGTTGTTGGTAGAAAAATTTTATTGTCCAACATCTCAAGGTAGACAAAGAACATGAAAATTTCGTTATCAGTATTGTCTGCTTATATGGATCCAGTGTCATGTAATTGTACATGTTGGGTGGTGAATATGCCCTGTAGGATTCTTAAACAGCTTATAACATTACAGAATTTCTTGGCATTGTAGAACACCTCTCTCTTTTTACACTGCTACCTGAAATTAGCTGGAAACCCTGGATGTAAATACGTGCCAGGTTGCACAGTGGGTATTGCGTAACCCCCTTCACGAACTGTTTACTGCCACTTGTTCCTGTGGTATTATGCTACTTCCTCTGGTGTCTTCCTGGCAATTGGGAGGATTACGTTTCAGGATCCTTGGAGAACCTCAGCGATCTCAAGGTCTCACCCAAGACGTGTACGGTTTAGGTCAAGGAGGCCCTTGGTTGGCGGGAGAGTTTACAAAATGCCAGTAGCAGTGTAGGCTTTGTAGTGGGGACAGGCTGTAGTGAGAACAAAGGACTGCTTCTGTGCCATTATTGCCATATTTAGGTCCATGCCTGTAAGCATGTTGACAGTTTTCATATTGCTGTTGAATCGGAAGGGAACACTGAGTAATGACTGCATGTTTTAGCTCATGGGTGATTTTTCTTTTTAAGTACAAGGACCAAAGTGCATATTTGCCCATGTACACATGTATGGATTTGTACTACAAAAAATGTACATACCTGATGTCAATGTTTCGATAACACCTGTGTAGGTTTAGAATAATTACAGTGTTCCTGCCAGCACTAAGCATGGTAGGCTACTAGCCAAAGAACTTTTAATTTAGACTGTCACTCTGACATTGTAAGAATTGGTCTTCCTGAAATTTTTAAAGACAATTTTTTCTCAACTGAAAATTTAATTTTGTTCTGTCAAGGATGTTTGAATGATCAAAATGCCTTGCCCCTTGTGAGCAGCAAAATTCGGTCAAAATATTAGAATGACAATGAAGGTCTAAAAGCTCACTTATATTACCAATACTTGCCCCACTTACTACTCCCAATGTCAAATACAGTTCAAAGCACTTTGGGATTTTACAAAGATTTTCCACAAAGCCTTGTTGACAGGTCATCTATATAGTGCAGCCCAGGGAAGAGAGGACAATATTTCATTCCCTAGTATATGAACCAATTAGATGAAGTTGACAGGTCAGCAACTCTTGGGAATTTCCTGACCCTATTGGATTGTCATCAAATGTAGAATACCCCGTGATATTTGTATAATTCACAGTCCTGGTCGTTATTTTTTAACAGTACAGTCTTACATCAAAAGTATGAAGATCTTAATCAAAATCGGGACTTCTAAAACTAAGAAATGATTGAATTTTGTTTTCCAGCAAGCTTGACATCAAAGGTAACATGTCACTGCTTTCATGCTCCCCGATTGGCTAAAAATTAACCAATCACACAGTATTATTTCCTCATTGCATCATGCCCTGTCTAGGTTTACATTTGCATGGAAGTCACCAGTAAAAATGCTCGAAACCTGTAAAAAATGAGCATCAGCAGAGAAATAAGGACCAATATCAGAATAAAGAATGTTTGAAAGATAAGTTTATTTACCTTGTAATCTTGCTTTTGACCCTTTCCATCCGTTTGATAGAATATCGCTCGTGACAATTTTCATGCACTAAAACTTTTTTATGGCATTTCTGGGTGCGGCATTGACGTCATTTAGGCTACCACTACTGTCTGATTAATCTTTAGATGTTGACTCTGCTGTCTGAAAATACAGTCTGAGCATTTATGTAGATCAATGGTTTTGAAAAGCTTACACAGACGAGAGGAACAACAATGGAGAAGCATAGCTTAGGGCTTTTCTGTGTGCAAAAATGAAGGGTTGATAACAGGAAACTTGCCTTTCATTCACTCTATCCCCTGTATTAAAGTATTTCCATCCACTTCACTCACTTGCGTACTGTATGTCTGTTACTAATACTAGTATGTTGTGGGTGACTCTAAAATGGTCTGGGTTTTTTTTTTCAGGACTGGTGGCCGAAACTTGAAAGGACCAGTTGCCCAGAATGTACAAGGTCAAAATGCTGTAAGTATGACTTGGCTTTGTGATATATAGCTTATCTTAATTCATTATTTATAGTGCAAAAATCTCAACATCATATTTGTATGAACATTAAGTCACGAAAAGATAACTGAAATACAGTACAAGGGTAACAATAAAAATGCATTTTCAATATTTTGATGTGTCAATTCCCATTCTGACTTCTCTTCATAGAATGGTATTCTATTTATTAAGTCAATACCAGGAAATTTCTGTACAGTATGTCGATGTTAGTACAGTACTCAGTCCGTTCATAGAAAACAGGTTGTTGCTGTCAAATGCCAGCATGTAATATATACACAAGTGGAAAATATGTGGATTAACCTTATACTTGGGACAGCTCAACATATGAAGTTAGTGTTATTACAGGTGTTGTAGTATGGCTTCCTGTATCCTGTTCAATAGTTTTGATGACCAAATGCCATATATGATATGGAAATATTTCCAGGAATATAAATATAAGTCTAGAATAATTGAAAAAGTCAATATGGCTGAGCAAATCTCTACCTTTCCACAGTAGATAAAAAGACATCAACTTGATCAAGGGACATTTCAATGATAAGACACTGTTCTTTTTGTTTTAAATTGTGAGTTCTTTATGTTTGATGATAACGAACAAAAATCTTTATGTTCATTTTTACGTTCATCTTTGTCATGACGAAACGTATAAATTGTTTTGCACTATTGAAGTAGACTTATTTTTGCAGCGTCATACATCTTATAAGTGACATGTCTACTTTTCCCTACTTGCTACGTGTAATTGAAGGCTCAAGTAAAGGTTTACTCATTCACATGAGCTAAGGAATTCCTTTGTCTCCAGGTTCACAGGTGTAACAATTTGCCATGCACACATTCTGGAGGTATTAGTACTTGAAGTAGCCTTTGTTGATAGTAATCTGATACATACCACATTTTTCAACGCCTTTTAGTCTGTAAAAGAGAGTTTTGATTGCTCAGATACAATCCTTTGAACTCGAAACAAAAGAATTTTTAATGTGTTCTCAAAAATATTGCATTACTTTAGACTGTCCTTAGTTAAACTACAAGTACCTCTAGATCATTTAAGTTTGTAGCACATTTTTCGTGATAGGGGGAAAACAAGAGTTTGCAGTATCTTTTGAGTTTGGCGTTTAAACAATAATAGAATCTCCAGTAACTGTGAATAAGTTGTCACGAGGAAGCTAGAGACGTGGCTAAAAAAAGAACGGAACCTACCGAAATAACCTTTAGCTCAGATCAGTCATCCTGACCTCTCAAGTCCCCTAGCCCGAAGCAAATTTTCCTTTCTTTTTCCTGCAGTTAACTTTGGAGCAGTTTTCTATTTTGGGACTGTAGCTGCCTCAAGGCTGAAAGCATTTTCCCTCCCTGGTCAATTAGTCTAAGGCCTAGGAAAAAAAATGTTGTGTTTCCGGTTACCCGACCGACCCTATGAAAACCCCCCCGACCCTAGCCTTTTTTGGGCCGACCAAAAATTTCGAGCGGCTAGCGGTCGGTTTTTCAAAATTGGGGAATTTTATTCCCCGATAAATGTGCTCGTCATTCCAATTTTCTTCGGTCGGGCGGCGTGGATCGAGCGCTAATTGCACGGATCGGGCCGCTATTCAATTCCATTGTCGGCACAATCCTGTGAATTGACGATGAATTGTCGATCTCGCCATGACGCCACAAAGAAAACGTTGTCATTGGTAGAAAATCTGACACCCCGCTGGCGTTTCACAACAAAATTTTCATGTAAACAACTCCGACTGTCTTTGTTTACATCGCGAAAGCTCACCGATACAAAGTAAAACTCCCGCCGGCCGGCCGCGCCCGATCGCATGGTTGCGGCATGGCGCTAAGTTTTCGGCAGGTCGACGGAAAAATAATCCATCCCCAGAAGAAATGTTACGCATGAAAATAACAACTACAACTTTTTTTCCTCGTTATATGAGTTTTTGAGGCCGTAAAATGTTTAAAACGGTTGAAATTTGCTCGAAAAAACGGCTCGAAAATTCACGGCGAGAAAGACAACATGGCCGACCTGTTTTCACAATAACAATGGTCAAAGGTCAAGATAGCATCCAAATGTATAGATACATGTAATAAGTACATATTACAGTGCTAAAACGATACTTTAAACGCATGAAAAATATTTTTTCGGCTACAACTGAAATAAAAATTCAGTTATATTTTAGTAAGGTTAATTTTCAAACATTACTGAGAAATTTTCCGAATTAATTGGTTTCTTGTGTAATATTGTTGTTTCTATGTATGTGCGGTTGGATGCTGTCATTGTAAAGACCCTTTACATATTGGGAGAATCAGATGAGATATTAGAGATTATCACGCTTAGTACCGTGACCCGAGTGTCTCTCAAAAATTGTTTTTGAGTGGAGTTTATAAACATGATCACATTTTTATTTGTTCAGCTGTGTCAATATGTGATTTGTTTGAGAAATAGGATTTGGTTTAGTTTTTAATATATTAATGTCAGTTAACATCTTTGGAATAAATTGCTCCAAGTTCCAGGTAGTAAATACATGTACATTTTGTATCATGTATTTTTCACTTGTTGAACTTGTGGAAGCACCGTTGGCCCCCGGTTAGGGGTCATCCGGGGAACCTATGCCCAATTTTTTCAAAATTAAGGGTAGAATTTTTTTTGAACATGAGGATAATTAAGTACAGATCTTGAACCTTTCTACTGCCTTATACATCTGCAGTTGTACAGAAAATGTAGAACTGAAGTTGCAGGAAATGACCTCCATTTGTGTTTGGAAAAGACAAAATGCAATAGCTTCCCCCCCCCTCCAGACCTCCCCCCCGCCGCATTCGCACCCTCCTCCACCCTGCTCTGAATTTCTGGGGAGATCCCTGTCTGTGTAGTACAAACAGATCATACGTTCATTGTCCCGGCTTTGACTAAAAAAAAAAAAAAAAAAAAAAAAAAAAAAAAGTGAATCCCTACCTACCGACCCTAATTTTTTCTGGACTGTAATAGGAAACACACCATTTATTTTGTTAGGCCTAATGAGAGATTTATAGTCCAAATGACTGTCCTCAGCTTCAGTCGTTTTCTGTAGGGGATTTGGCATTCAGCGCAAATAAGATTATTTCAAGGATGTTGTTCTGTAACTTTTAACGGAAAATATTACAACTTAAAATTGCCATTTTCTTAGTCATGCAACATCTGATTTACTTCAAACAAAAAAACAACATTTCATTTCTTTCAGTGATCTCTATCTGATAAATTGTGAATGGCTAACAACAACCTTAATTTTTGGCCCAAAAGACCTACTGTAACTTAGTGTAAGTGTAAATAATATGAAGAGTAGAAAAGCATGTTATGCTATCAAAATCATATGAAGAATACTTTTTAGACTGGACTAATTGCCTATTCATTTCATAATTTTGTATGAAATGAAGCATTCATACAATCCATAAATGTTTGCTTTTGTTATTATGAATTATGATATTTTGTGGTTGAGATATTTTGCTGAGTAGAGATCTGCTACAGATAAGTTTGCTCATAATACATTCCGCTGGGAGAAAGGGGCAGATTTAAAAGTGATCGATCATTCATTACCCACTACCGGCAGTCTGCTGCATTTCCTAGTAAATGTTGTCTCGCTTCCAAGTACATGTGAGTTTTAAATCAAAGCACAGCCTTAGAATAACAAGTGAACTATCTATAGTGCCAACTGAAATATACTTGTTGTGTATGGTATGGACTTGACTCATAATTTTAGCTGAAAATAATCACATGTCGAGTGAGTGTGTACATATCTGACATTGTGAAAAAGGGCCACCAGATGGGCCATAGATTCCATGTAGATAAATGCTAAATTAGATATTCCAATTTCTAGTTAACCTTTTGTGTGCTACAGTACTGTATTTCTGAGTAAAAACATGTCTAAAAATATTTACATGTCATCTTCAAGTTCATTTGACAGATGAAGATAATAGTGATAGTACAGGTATATTTGAAATGACGAAATGACTTCAACTGGAATTTTAGTATTACAGTTTGATTTGGTTTTTAAAGTATCCCCATTTTACAATCAGTAGTTAAGCAGTGGATACCAAAATTTTGTGTGGTCCCACCAAGATTTGTGTACATGTACATGTTTCATATAGATGTACAGTATTGTACAAATGTATTTCGCACCAGTTTGGCACACTAAAAACACTAAAATGGATTGATAAGATATTGCATAAGCAGTCATTTTTCAGTGGTTCTACATTGAATATGTTGTTAGATACCTTTTACAAATATCATTGATTATTTGCTTTTGGCCCTTTGGGTGTTGTACTGTTGGGTTCAAACCATTGATCTCATTATCAGAGGATTTTTCGTAGGATGTTATTTGACAAGTAAAATCATCCAGGGATAGTATATGATTTTGTAACCCACATGTATACATCACAAATTTACCTTGCTATCCTTTATTGTCAAACAAAGCATTATCTGATATGAAGATGCATTCACTCATCTCATGTAACCATGCTCATATTTTCTCAAACATAAAAGGTTTAAATCTGTATATCACATTTGCATTAGTGCACATACATATGATATATATCGATGCTGAATGTTGAAAATTTAGCTGCTAGAAGTTGTTATTGTCAAACTCTCAAGAGTATTATTCAAGTCTTTACAGGTATTCTGACGTATTCAAGTTTATTAATCTATTTATAAACAGACCAGCTGACTTTTGTTTCTCCTCTCATCTGTTTCAGCCGTTAGAAGGTGTTTATGCCAACTCCCGCTTAATTCACATCGCTACTTCGCTGGTGGTAAGTCATGTTTTGTTGTGACAACATTTTTCACTGAACCACAAGATGGAACATACCATTAACGTATGTAGGGGTCATACCAGATGGGTGAATTTCAGTCTCATTATACATATTCCAACAATGAGTGTATATTGTAATGAAATTTTTCTATTAATAAATTTATCTAAGTTGAAGAATAAGTGCATTTCCTTTATATTAATCATCATCTATCTCTTATGGTATATGCTTTCAAAGATATCCTATTAATGTATCAGCAAATCTTACATTGTCATGAGATAAATTTGTGTTCCTATAGCTTTTTTTTCTCTTCAACATTTTGAATCAGATTTTCCAGTAGCAGATTTGCTGCGTTTAAACTTCACATCTGGATAATGTCCATGTCTTTAGTTTCCTTTGATGTCTGGCTTGGGGTAAAACAACTTCCGACTGAGTGAGACTGTTGACAAAATAAGCCTGTTCAAGAACCCATACTTATCTTGCAGTGTGCGCAAGTTTAGAAAAGATCGTGTGATAGAAGAAAATTAGTGTAGAACAATTTTCTTTAGTATGCTGAATACAGTGTTATTAGGAACAGAAAAATGATTCCTTTATGTTTTTGCCTCCAGATTTAATTTCTTTGCCATGTACTTTTTATTTCCCTACAGGGCAATGTAGTACAAGTTCAAGTTAAGGATGGGAGCATTTATGAAGGTGTCTTCCGCACAATGTCTCCTAAGGTAAGCCCTGAAGCTTTTCCTTAGCTTGCAAGTTCTTGAACTTCAGCGCAGCGCAAACTATTCCCATCAGTGAATGTTTTTTCAGGTGGTGAATGATTTGAGTTGCAAAGTTCTTTATTTGCAGACACTTGTTTAAAAAGAGCTGACATTTTGATGACTGTCACTTTAATCAGAGCAATGTGCACTGAAGTTTGGTGTTAGTGTCACTGGTTCACTTTGCACTGAAGCTAGGTACTAAAACAATTCCTATCGTTTACTCTTATCCTTTACCTCAAGTCAATCGGGGTGTCATCAATGTACAGTCTTTCTTAAAGAAGCTAACATGTTTTTTTACAGAAGCATGCAAGACAAATTTTGTCTGCAAGAGTATTGCAACAATACTGCTGTATAACAACTTGACATGGTCAGAAACACCTCTAGCACGGCACAAAATGTAGGCTGCTCCAAACTGTAACACCGAGTCAAGTTTTACTACCCATCCAAAATGACAAAACGAGGCCTGCGTTGACCCCAAGCAACATCACAGCAAGTGTGTCTCCTGTGAGAACGTACACCACAAGGTTTTAATTAGGTTTCCCCAAGGTTGAATTGAATTATGGGCTCACCTTGTTGCCTTGTGATTGGTTGGCACGTTCCCAGAGAGGAAGTTACGTGCAGGTTTCTTTAGAGAGAGAAACGAGATTTTGGAGGATTAGTCATCTGAAGGTGCCGGAAATCTTTTCCCCAAACTTCCAGTAGTGCATTCACTCATCTGTCAACAACCTTGTGTGGCTTTTAAACTGTTGGTACAAGGAAAATTAGACAGCCTAAATAAGGATAGCCATTTTGTGACATGAAAATTGCGTAATATTTGACGGAAATCATTATGAGAAGTCGAAAATGCACCACTAGTCCTTTTCAGTTTTATTTTCAAAGGTTTCAAAGAATACTACCACCACTTCATTTTGACAGGTCCCTGTTTAGGACTCTCCAGTGGTATGGCCCATTCTGTGATGTTCGATTAACCCAATTTTGGGATGTAATAGATGAGTCCTTTGGTTATCTAATAAAGTCGCATGGCTTTAACGCGATGTTGTCACTAATAGATCAAGTCTCTGGCCTAATTTCGGTGGCCCCAAACCTCAAAGGTGATCAGTCACTGTCTTTGTAATTTTTTTCAGTATTAACAAACAAGGAATTTTATATAGAAATCCACTAATCTCATAAAATTATCACTTTTAATCATAAACCTCATTTGTGGCTGGGGAGTGTAATATTTTTGTAAACAGTAAATTGTTATTATAACTATGATATAAGCTTTGTATGCTGCTCAGTGTAACACAGCTGGTGTGTTAGGCTGAAAGGTGAGAACTGTAAATCCTGGACTATTTGCAAGTCACCAAAAACTCATCACATTCACAACCAGTCATCAGCATTTACATTGTGTTGCCACTACTGTTTCAATGGCAGAATGAAGGATACCCTGAACACTTGACTATCAGTATGCATAGTATTGGAAAGTGTAACAACTGGTTTCCCTAGTGAATTCTGAGCTCCTGTTAACTTAAAGGACCTTGAGCTCATTTTGGTAGTTCTGAAAATGTGAATGCTTTTGTTAAATTACTGTACATGTAATTCACTTTATGTTCACGGTAGCAAAAGTTACGAGTCTGAGAAAAATGGACACATTCGCAGAACTATATGTTCGTAGTGGCGGCAGGTGCAGAAAAAAGAAAGTCTGCAAATTATTTGTTCACGGTAATGATAATTTTGCAGTACTGAAGTTACCATGAAGGTAACTTCAGTACTGCAGAAAAAATGGTGAATTACGGTAGTGGTGTATAGAAAACAAGCTCTCTCTGATGAGCCCCAAGTCCCAATCAGTGAGATTGTGTAACACAGACTAGTTTACCATCTACCTTAATGAAAACAAAGGACAAACCATAAATCAGACTTTATTCTAAACCGGGAATAAGGGCGCTGCTCCCTCATGTAACCAGCCAGCACCCCTATATCAATTTTCAGATTGAACCTAAGTGGCTACATACACAACATTAAGTCTTTCTCAAAATGATCTTTTTCCAGTGAAAATGTATAAACAAAACATCATAACAATGCATTCTGGCATTACAAACTGTGGTACTCTTGTAAAATTTCCAACATCCTTTGCCAACCCCCTACTTTGTCGCTTCGCTCCCTTGCCATGCTAGTGATCTGCTCCCTCATACTTAATTTTTGTAGAAAAACCTGTGACGAGTCCCAATCAGTGAGACTTGAATGAAAAGAATCACAATAATCTGTCAACCAGTTTGAGTTATCCTTCCGCTAAATGCCCCTGCAGTTTCAAAACAAGCCGCTATGGGGCCCAATCTAATGTCACGTCTTCCCAAACACAAGACCTATCTACCATTCAAATTTCGTGACCCTAGCATGTCCAGATGAGATATGAAAACCAGACGTTTTGTTGCAGTACCAAGGCAAGTCGCCAGGGGGCCCAAAATCTTGTTTCATCAACAGTGTTCAACACCTTTCCACCTACCAAGTTTCATGACAATCCACCCAATGCTTCTTGAGTTATGGTGCTAAACCACACACACACACACTCTCGCAAACGTGAGAATGGAAAACATAACCTTCTTGTAGAAGGTAAAAAAAAAACAACATAAATTTATGTTCCTACAGATGGAGGTTGTGCTGGAGCTGGCCCATAAGGTGGAGGTTGGTCAGACCTCCCTGCCCAGCCGGGACCAGCTGCAGGAGAAGCTGATCTTTCACCAGGAGAACGTGGTCATGCTGACCGCTCTGGACGTCGACCTGGACTATGCAACTAAAGGTACAGACACTGGACAGAATTTGTCTTCATAGATTGTTAAGTAAGATGTAAAATATTTTGCCACAGACATGTCTAAAAGTAGACCACCACAGTCCACTTTAGATATGGAAGAACACTCAAGAAGAGTACTGTAAATCTTGAAATTTTCACTATGGTTCAATTTTCTTCTGTTTTCACTGTGATGTCTCTACTGTGAATTCACAACATTATGTCTCCCTCGTACCATTATTGTACCTCAGAATTGTTTCAGTCATGAATTTAAAACACGCTGAAAACCTCCTTTTCTCTCCAGCGGCAAAATAAAATCTCTGCGGAAGGAAACAAATTTACAGTAGTTAACTTGAGTGTAAAAAGTTATGACACTATGACACTGCCAATAAAGCTGGTTCAGACACGGTTGTATATCGGTAGCCGCAGTACTTCAGAGGACCAGTATGGGGTGTGATGATGCTTATTTTTGCATATAAGCGTGCATGAGGGTTGTCTTCGTCTCATGTCAATGGTGTTAGAGTCAGGCTATTTGATGTCATATTTTGACACATAATATACAGTAGGGTAAATTGTCCCCAAGTCAAAACATTGGTCATACGTGGTTTAGGCAAACTGAAAGGATATATAGAGAAAATCCTAGCACTGGAAAGAGCCCTGGACTAAATTGCACATGGCCTTCCCAACATCGACAAGTTAACCTAACTGCCTTCTCTCCCTTGAACTTTAAATGAAAGAGGCCTGAAACTTCTAATTTACCAGGTCACTGAGTATATGACAGTTCTAAAGGAATAACTACATACAAGTGGATGTCCAGATAGCCTGACCTACTGACTACCCTATTTCCCCACTCTCATGCCTCTCCTATCTGTGGGGCTGGTACATGTACACGGCTCGAAATACTTTTTTCCGCATACCTGCACTGGTACAGGTAGCATTGAAAATTACCTGCACCACTCCGAATTTAGGAATGGATCACACTAAAAACTGTTCAGAAACCATTGCCACTGCTTCTTTTATACTTGTACATGTAGGTTGTAACACTTTATACAGCAAATAAAACCCCACATACACTTACATGTATATATAAACCTAGTATACAGACCAGTGCAGGTAGACATCAGAAATTTTACCCGCACTACAGTGCATATGCACCCAGTATTTCGAGCCCTGATGTACATACACTCTCGTCTCTACTGAACTTGTCTCTCCCTGTTTCTGTTGGCTGTGTGTGGCTCCAAGGTGGGGTCGATGAGAGAGGGTCACCTCTGCCAGGCCCAGGTAGGGAACCTGTAGTCACCGCATGTCTGCAAGCACCTACCTGTTCTCAACTCTCCGCTTGCCTTGCTTTCAGCATAGAGGGCTTTTCCGTGAATGCAAGTTAGCACCTAGCCATCCTAGTATAACCAATAGAAAGATGGTACCAAAAAGGCAGTTGGAAGGTGTATTAGCTTTTGGAAGAATTGCAGAGTGTTGCTGGCTTCTTTTAGTTGTTTACCATTGTGGCCCTTTGTTCATTTGGTCCGACGTGCATGTAGCAAAGTGGGCCATGTGTGAATGACTAATCCCATGGCTATGAAAATTGCATGCAGCTGATTAGGGGCTTCGTTTATTGCTCCAGACAACATCTAGACTGCCAACCACCGAACCTCACTAATGTTAACAGTAGGGCTTTCAGAGATACATGTACCAATAGTTGGGCAAGCATGAAAAATATGGCACAGCTAAATGTTAACAGAAGCTAAGTAGGAGCACATTTGTATTGGAGATATTTTTTCCGTTGTGTTATAGCGATAATGGTTAACAATCAGTATTGGATCGTCATGCCATTACTGGCTTGTGGTGGGCCATGCTTGGTTTAGAAACAAATGATCATGACTATTTTAACTTCTGTACAACCCTGTGCTACTCAGTTGGGATTTCCTATGAAAAAATCTCAGAAAACCATGGCTTGCTGGTTTTCCTCGGTTATCAGTGCGCTGAGAAGTTTGTACTTTCATCTCCTTCCAGCGGACTCGTTCACAGACGCAGCCATCAGCAAGTTTAACGGGCAGATCGGGGAGAAAGAGCTGCAGCCGTGGGAAGCTGACTCGGAACAGGCGCCGGATCTACTGCTTGACGCTGATGGGGGCACCGTTAGTGTGAGTTCAACTTCAAAGTTTTTTTATCCATCAGATTTGTCATAAAGAACATGACATCAAAAGACTATTGATGCAAATATATGTGAATTGAAAACTTTTGTTCCAACGCAAAGGTAAATGTTCTCAGCTAGTTTTTCTCAGAGTTTCGGCCAGTCGCTCTGGTCTTCCTCAGTAGACTGACCCAGTGAGACTAGTCATGTGGCTTCTCTGAAGCTCTAGGTGAGAACAGTTACCTTTGTGTTGGAACAAAAGTTCTTAACTTTAAACATGTAACTATCAACACAAATGAACTTTCATGATACAAAACTTGTAGTAGCAGTAACGTACATACATTGACAAGACAAGACTGTTGTCTGTAGTCCAATGTTAAACTACTCTGATAATCAAGCTACTCATTGCAAGGTTGAAGGAATGGATCAAAATGCATGGTCTCGTTCTGTACAGTCCAATGGCTGGGATGCCGCTGAGATGTTCCGCACCAACGAGAAGCGCTACGGGGTCCAGTCTTCCTACGACAGCAGCCTGGCTGGATACACGTGAGTTGGCTTTTCTTCATACAAAGTTCTAATTTCCCCATGTACGTCTGCATGCCACAGTTTACTAAACAGTAGGAAGTTTTCCATCATTTTTCCTCTGTAGCCATCAAATAAGAATTAATGGCTAATCTGAAGATACTATAAATTTTCCAGTGGTTTTATTTTTGCAGTAAGTGACCTCTCTACTGGGAATAGTTGTCTCCAGTGGATTATTACTGTACTACAGAATTGCTTCATTCGGTTATAACCACGAACTTAAAACTTTTCCCATTCTACTGCAAAATTAAGCAAAACTAAACAAACTAGTAGTATTTGTGGTTAAGAAGACTCTACAAGTAAAAAAAATGTCCTTTTCATTTCCTAGGACTCAGCTGAAGGAAGAAGACACCAAAGAGTACCGTGAGAAGCGAGACCGTGCCCAGCGCATCGCTGACGAGATCGAGCGGAGTACCGACTATCAGCGCCGCGTGGCTCTGGAGGTTCACGATGACGAGGAAGCTGCGTTCAGCGCGGTCCACCGGCCCAGTAGGAACGACGGCGGAGGGGATCTGCATAAGTATGTACAGATGTTTGCTCAGCTTAAAGTTCCTACTTGTTAGTAGACCACATCAGAAATACCAAGTGCAAGTCTGCATCATCAGGTGGTAATTTTAGCCCTGACAGGTCTTCAAATTCACACTGGTGCAGCTAACCTAAAAATTTAGGTGCACAGAGAAAAAGTTTTGAGTGTGCAACAAGGTTTCATGATTATTCTGACACAAATGTCAAGAATATACTGTCACAGTATTGCACTTGCTTAACCATACACAAATACGCCAAAAAGCATGACCGTTTCCAAAATCATATCCAGTTGCTTGAGTAACTGCTTTTTGGCGTATCGTATTACCTGGATGTCTAACCTTCATTGACGAATACACAATTATATACATGTAGGTGTACCCACAGAAAAAATTTGGTGTACAGCTAAAATTTTGGGCGCACCAAAGAAGTTAAAGTATTTCCAGCCCAGCCTGAAGATCACATGTCAGAAGTAGGGAATACTGGTGTAACACCGGGGAATACCATTGTAACACCAGTTAATTGTAACTAATGTTAAACTGTATGGTTGAATTTATGTATTTTCTGTGTGTATCTTGTAGCCGCTATGTACCACCACACATGAGGAAAGACACGTCACGGGGCCGGGGGCAGCAGATGTCGCCCAAACCCCAGAGGACGGGGCACCACGGCCCGGGCGGCATGGGGCCGCGGGGGTCCCCACGGGCGGGCGCCGGCTCCCCACACACGGTCGGCACCCATCCCCACGCCGTGTCGCCGCAGAACAGGAGACCAGGGGGCGTCCCCCCGCAGCACGCCAGCTCGCAAGCTCCGCAGCACGTCGCCCCTCCCGGTCCTGCCAAGAACGATAGCAATAGTATCCCTCCCACTGTTAATGGAGGTAAATTTCTCGCATCTTTTCTTCTTACCCTTTGTCTGTTTTTCTCCAGATTGTCAATGGTCACTTGTCCCGAATAAGTTAGAAATTGTCCCTCTCTGTTACAACCTAACTGCAAAAGGAGAGAGTTATCAGCATGTATCAATCTCAAATGTCAACTGTGTTTGCCTGAGTATAGCTATCTAGCATTGCAGTTCTGTAGCATATGACCAGTGAAATTTCTCTAGTATATCAATCCTGTATGTCCTTCTTGCTGGGATAGCAAAAAATTATCTTCTTTGTTGTTACCTTAAGGAGATTGAGAAACGTTTCTATTGTCTACTTTAGTCCATCCTAATGTGTAGTTACTATGTAGTTATTGTGTAGTTACTATGTAGTTGTTGTGTAGTTACTATGTAGTTATTGTGTAGTTACTATGTAGTTATTGTGTAGTTACTGTGTACTTTATGTGTAGCTTCTGTGTGTTTTATGTGTAGTTTCTGTGTGCTTTATGTGTAGTTACTGAGTACTTAATGTGTAGTTACTGTGTAGTTACTATGTTTTCTGTCCCCAGAAGCCTCCATCCCCCAGCCCTCTCCCGTAGCCTCTGGCCAGCCTGATGGTAGCAAGCATCCCGCTAGTGAAGTAGTGAGTAGGAACGTGCCTCGAAGAGACGATCTCAACAAGCCCGCCCTTCCGCCAGCCCAGGCCCCCCAGCAGCACCCTAGTTCTACTATTTATTCTAATACAGAGAGAAAGAATCCTCCAGCTAAAGGTGAGCTCTTCCACACTTAACCTTCTATAATACATTGCTACATTTTATGCATTCTTGAAAGTCCATCCATATATTTCTTTTTGTATCGTTTTATATGATATATAGTTGGTATTTATTTGAAAGAACTTGGTGTATAGTTGATAGTCATTAGGAAGAACATGTTTTCTTTTGCTACCTTTATGTTTTAACGTATTGGAATGTGCTCAGTTTTCTCATGTTGTTTTGTCCTATGTAGGTCTCAATCAGCAATTGACATCTCTCAAGAAATTCTCAGAAGAGTTCAGGGTAAGATTTCACATTGCCAATTTGCTTGCGTTCATTTTAACAAAAGACATATTTTGTTAGCCAAATTGTTGGGTGTAGAATGAAACTGACTTTCATTGTTGTC